CGATTTTAAGAATTTCCTGATCATGGGCCATTAATTATAACGAAACTTCTTAACGAAGAGGCAATTAAATAGGTCATCTGATTAAATAGACAATCGAATCTGGAAATCTCGTTAACAAAAGACAGTACGACTTTCTTTCAACTCCCATCTCGATTTGCTAATTATTCAAAGGAGGAAAGGGGTGAATTTACGCGGTGATGGGTCTGAAAACAAAAATCACCCCTTTCACAGGCCGTAGCGAGAAAGAATGGCTTGCGAGAAAGTTTGCGAGTAATTTTTCTTTTAATAGAGGACGACGTTCTTAAAGCGACTCCGCTTTGATACTCGACTCGCCAACTTTTTTATTCCCGGGAAGTTTGACACTTTCGTCAACTCGCTACGAAAAGGGTTTCGATGTAGAACCATTAGATAAAAAGGAAAATAAAGAGCGCCGTTATCAGAGACGTTCAAAATAATGAAACTTCTCGAACGGAAGATTGATTTATATTTTAAAGAGTGTTGAATTAATGACGTTGCGAAGTGATCTTGTGATTAATATTAAGCAACAATTTCGTCGATTTAAAATTTATAATCGAGAGAAAATTATTGATATTCTTAGAAAATTATTGATCTACAAAATGATCGACGTGCAGTTAACCGATAAGTTATTCGCGAATTAACGAGCGGGTCTCTGGAACAGCTAATCAGTGAGCAATTTTTATTCACCGCGTACTTCGTTTTTTACGGGACCACGCGAACAAATATCACACCTGTAACACGGTCGTCACGGGGCCGTTATGGGTCGTGTGTACACCGTGCTATCACGGGTTTACGACCAACCGAGAAATCCTGTCCCCGTAAAATCTGTCATCCAGAAAAATCAGATTTTAACGATCACCGCTGGCTATGTTTTTGTTTACACGCTCACCTATGCGTCACCGGTCGAAAATATTAATTAACGCCACGTCATTTGGTTCTCGAATTATCCCCTCGACTTTAACCGGAACGCGCCATGTTGGTTTACGGTCGAACAACGAATCGTATTTTCGCCGATGATTTTTCGCAGACAGGTCTCGTCGAAACGCGGAATATGACGAAAATTAATCTTTCGGTTTTTCATTCAACATTCATCGACGTCCACGAAATGCGGTTTCCATAATATTCCCGGAACGTTTGAAAATATCCGGAAAGGAAAATTTCTCGATATGAAATCAACGGGAATTTTTTAAAATCTCTGCACGGATTGTGTAACCCCCTTTCACGGTTGATTCGTTACGCGTTCTCCGTCGTGGTTGAGATTTAAGGCGGATTTATTCAACGTTTGAACGCAAAAGGGCAGAGTAACTCGAGCCGGTAAACACGCATGATTACGATAAATCTCAATGGAAAGCCAATTACGCGTTCGAAACGAGTGAAGTTACCGTGTGAGCGTTAATGGGTTCAAGTGAATGGTACAGTAAATCGCAATAGCCCCAATGCTGTTCCAGGTTCCTCCAACGCCGCGAATCTATTGACAAATATTTTTACCTTGTATTTTAAATCACGAAAATATTGTTGGAATCTTGTATTTTGTTAAACCTGTTATGTAGGGAGAAATCAGAGTGGGTCTAGCAGTTCGAAAACTCTGGTTCAGCTTGTCTCACATTATAAATCACACATGTTCACATGTTCACATATTCAAATATTTACATGTTCGAATATTTACATATTCAAATGTTCACATATTCACATATTCACATATTCGCATATTTACATATTTATATATTCACATATTCACATATTCACATATTCACATATTCACATATTCACATATTCACATATTCACATATCCACATATTCACATATTCACATATTTACATATTCACATATTCACATATTCACATATCCACATATTCACATATTCACATATTCACATATTCACATATTCACATATTCACATATTCACATATTCACATATTCACATATTCACATATTCACATATTCACATATTCACATATTCACATATTCACATATTCACATATTCACATATTCACATATTCACATATTCACATGTCCACATATTCACATGTCCACATATTCACATGTCCACATATTCACATGTTCAAATATTCACATGTTCAAATGTCCACATGTTCAAATGTTCATATGTTCATGTGTTCAATATCACATGATCATTACTTCATAGAAGAATCAACGTGTTTATATGTGCAAATGTTCATGTGTGCATATGTTTATATGTTCGTGTGTTCAATATCACATGATCATTACTTCATAAAAGAATCAATGTGTTCACATGTGCATATGTTCATGTATGCATATGTTTATGTATGCATATGTTTATGTGCGCATATGTTCATACTGTCATATATTCTTATATTCATATGTTGATATGCTCACATGTTCATATGTTGATATACTCATATGATCATATGTTCAAATGTTCACATATTCACATGATCAAATGTCTACATGAACATACGTATATTAACAGTCAAATCAAACAAATCAATTAACAGTCAAATCAAATAAATCAATGAACAGTCAAATCAAGTAAAAAGATGCCTACATGTATATACAGAAAATCTATAGAAAAGTTTCCACGATCGAGATTTGGCAAATAGAAAAAGAATAAAGCGGTATTCAAAAGATAGAAATTTGTCGGTGACGAAACTATGGTTTATCGCGGGGTCACGGAAAGGTGCTCCCCTTGATTTCCCCCAGGACCGTATCAATAGAACATCTACGACTCCAGTGTTCCCTCGCGCGTACCATTTGTTCCGGAAATTTCTTCGTGGATGGAATCCCTTCTTTTTTTTCTCGAGGCGGAAATCTTTTCGAGCCCCGGCAGGTAATCGAAAAACTTTCGATTCACGGGTGAAACTTTGATTTCGCCTAATGGAATTTTATATTTCTTCATTCGACGGGATAAACGTCGCTTAACGAACTGTTCCTCAAACCTCCTTTCTATTGTGGGGCTGAAAACTTTGCCATGTTTGCCGAAACAACAGCGTAATCGTGTATCGTTGTTTTAATTATGCGGAAACTTTCGGACACGTTTCTTTTGTTTACGTGTCTGAAGAACGTCGATAGATTCTACTACAAAACACGCAGTTACGAAGTTTTCTAATTAGGACGAAACCCGCGTGAAATCGTTTAGCGCCATTTTGGATTCTACACCGATGATTCCGACGGAGTAGCAGACGTTCGCGTCTCGTCTCGGTTAGTTAACCGTACTATAAATACGACCACGACGGCATAACATTATTTTTGCAAAGAAACGTCTCGGACGAGATGTCGGGATCCTCTTGTCCCACCCACGAGTCAGAGCATACAGGGTCTCTCAAAATTAATGTGTTACCTCTGTCTGACAGGTTAAGGGGTTAATACTCGTACACTGCAGTACTTCTATATCTATCATTGTATAATGAAAGGAAATTTATTCTTGTACTATGACTGTTTTTCCTGTATTTCACCAGAAATGTGGTACGGAGCTTCGTTTTTGAATTATTAAGGAAAAACACGGACCAATCAGAGCGCGAGGATTACGCCCGCGTGAAATCGTTTAGCGCCATTTTGGATTCTACACCGATGATTCCGACGGAGTAGCAGACGTTCGCGTCTCGTCTCGGTTAGTTAACCGTACTATAAATACGACCACGACGGCATAACATTATTTTTGCAAAGAAACGTCTCGGACGAGATGTCGGGATCCTCTTGTCCCACCCACGAGTCAGAGCATACAGGGTCTCTCAAAATTAATGTGTTACCTCTGTCTGACAGGTTAAGGGGTTAATACTCGTACACTGCAGTACTTCTATATCTATCATTGTATAATGAAAGGAAATTTATTCTTGTACTATGACTGTTTTTCCTGTATTTCACCAGAAATGTGGTACGGAGCTTCGTTTTTGAATTATTAAGGAAAAACACGGACCAATCAGAGCGCCGGGCTTACTACGCGTTGGATTACTACGCGTTGGTTAACTACGCGTTAGATTGCCACGCATTAGATTCTTACGCTTAGAATTACCACGCGTTGGACTTATACGCGTTGAATATCCACGCGCTGGATTACTACGCGTTAGATATCCACACGTTGGATTACTACGCGTAGATTACGACGCATTAGATTCCTATGCTTAGAATTACCACACGTTGCATTATTATGTGTTGAATTACTACGCGTTGAATATGCACACGCTAGATTACTACGCGTTTGATATCCACACGCTGTATTACTACGCATTGGATTACTACGCGTTGGTTAACTACGCGTTAGATTGTCACGCATTAGATTCCTACGCTAAAAATTACCACGCGTTGGACTTATACGCGCTGGATTACTATGCGTTAGATATCCACACGCTGGATTACTACGCGTAGATTACGACGCATTAGATCCCTATGCTTAGAATTACCATACGTTGCATTATTACGCATTGAATTACTACGCGTTGAATATGCACACGCTAGATTACTACGCGTT